TGATTGAAAACCAGCTTTCAAAACCTTCTTGTAGTAGTTTTAAAAACCGTCAAAAGAAACTGCAGCTTCATTTCCTCTTTTCTAAACCGTAACTTGAAAAGAAATAGGAAACTTAAACAGGCTGATTGGAAATCCATCAGTATGTATCTAATGCTTTTTCTACTCACCCGGGGAGGGGGGGCGGTGGGGGGCAGGCGGAATATGGTCCCCTTCTTTTAGAGTTGTTGATACACGGGGGAAATGGTTGATGTTTATTTCAAAACGCTGCATGACCTGGCTTGTTTGATGGTCTCTCATGTACTAACACTCTCCATGTATTATTATTATTACTATTATTATTATCATAATTAATACTATTATTACTACTACTGTTATTATTTTTTGCCGTTTGTAGCAAATTAGGTTTGTTTTTTTTAAAAAAAAAAAAGTTCCAAAAGGGGGTAAATTGGAATATATTGAATGCAAAGGTGTGACCTGTTTGTGTAACTGCCTTTCCAAATGCTCTCGAGTCCTGTCTCCCTCCCTGCTCCTCATGCTCTGGCTGGGCAGCTTCCACAGCTTGTGTGTAGGCAAGAGGTTAGCAAAGAAGGGGAAATTAAAACAATGTTGTACATTATATAGTTACCAGCTATTGGAAAACCTATTTTGTATGCAAGACAGCAGCGTAGAGATATATGGAAAGCCTTGGGCTAAGTACAGAAGATAATTACATTTGGAATTTTACTGAGTTAAGTCATTTATAGCTTCAAATAGTTGGAGAGAAAAATCAGCAAAAACACACTTAAACTTCTTGTTGTTACTTTTCGAGATAAGCATTTAAAAAAATGTCTTTTATCTTCTTATCTTACAAATTACCCTTTTTCTTTCATAGATATTCCCTAAATTTTACTTTCAGGAACACACTGGTCATGACACTCTTTCACTATTAGCTGAAGCAGTATAAACTATTTTAATACCAGTTTTATAAAAATCAAACTACCAGTCATAAAATATCAGAGTCTTGGAGAAAATGTTATGAGAAATGGTCTGTTATTTTAACAAGTTTCTCGGGAATTAGAAAAAAAAAATTAAAAAAATCTGCAGTCTTCCTGGTAAACTGAGATATGAGATGATCTTGTACCAAGATGCAATAATATTCAGGCTGAAGGTAAATCTAGATTCTTCAGTTGGAGTCAGCTTGCAAGGCATTAATCCTGCAGTCACTGGGAATGGCTGTGCCTGGAACTACAGGAGGATGCCCTGTGTTCACAGTTGGACAGGCCAGAGATGATAGGTGGTTATCACCTCTCCATAGGCCCTCGACAATATTTTGGAAAGATTTTATCAGCGCTGCATTCCGCTAATTGTTATAAGTGACTGATAGTGACAGCTTCACACCTGTGAAGCGCTGGGGGAAACCTCTGAGCTTAGAGGCCTTGCATGGGAGGGCAGCATGAGGTCCCCAAGACAAGAACATCATTTCAAAGTGGTGTGAGGGCCAGAAAGTCCTGGATTTGTTTTTGACAATCATATTAGCCCAGTAGACAGGATGAACTGGAGGCTTAATTTGGACAGGGATGTTGCTATCAGAGTGAGACCATCTATGCATTGGCCCAGCAAGGATAGAGCGAAGAGGAGGGTGGTCCTGCTTCTGACATGCACCTCTAACTCCCCTCTTCTCCCTCTCCTTTCATCCTGTCTATCAGTCCTCAAATACTTTAAAAAAAAAAAAATCTGCCTAAATATGTATGCGGATTTGTCCTGCAGTACCTAGTTTGTCTGTTTTTGCACAGACCCATAATAAAGTCTGGCCCAGTAGCAGGGTGTTTCAGTGACGTAGTCTGCAGCGCCCAACGTTGTAGCAGGAGGACTAAGGCCGTTGACCTGATGGTCCCACAATGGAGCAATTGCCAACAGAGTGGTGACCACAAGCCCTGTGGCCAGCTGTTTGAGTGGTGTAGGTAGCAGAGGGGCCCATAGCCTTTCCCACTTGACCCACAGTGCTCAGCCCTGGAGAGAAACTTAGCCTTCCAGTGAAGCTGTGAAGTATCACAAGCTGTTCAGGGTCCAACACCATGGCAAGATCTAAATGTGGCACCGATTCATCCAGGTACAGCCCCATCAAGAATTTAAAAAATTCATTCCACCTGAGGTACGCACTTCAGGTTTTGAGTGTGATGGACCCAAATTGCAAGCCTGCCTTTTTTTCTTTATGCTTTTATTTATTTTATACACAATAGCTTTATCAGTCTCCTAGTCAGAGATAAGTGTAATGTCTTCTAAAGAAAGTAATTTCTGAATCAACTTTTTGAAAAAAACAGGTCAGATCTGTTTTGTATTTTATTGTAAATGCCCCTTTGCAGAAGTATCTTGAAGTTTTGTTTCCAGCATTTCCATCACAAACATACTTAAAATATCACAGACAAGGTAGAGACTTTCTCATGTTTCTCTTTGTTTAAACCATCATGACATGATCATTTGTTGCCATTATAAATAGTGAGAATTGGGCTGCTGAGTAAAACACAAACACAGGAACACATCCTTAGCTAGTTCTTAGCTGGAATAGGACGTCCATTTTGCAGCACCACCTTCGATTCAGGACAGTAAGAAGGCTATGAGAAGTTTAAAAAAAAAATAAATCTCCAAATAGGAGAACATGAAGACAGCTGGCCATTTTCAGCGTAGTGAAAGCACAGCTTGGGCCTTTTTTCCTGAAGCATCCATTGACACTCTTGAAAAGTGGGTCCTAAACCTTTCTACTGCCCGGCCTTTCTGGGCTTTCAAGGGGAGGGAAGAGGCTACATCTCGGTTGTCTCTTGCATTGCCCCTGACCGTCTTCCTTCTCCTTTGTCCTTGGTCTGTCCAAAGTCCTGCTGCTGAAGTGATCTCCCTTTCCTGTTGACGTGGCCTTGTTGCTGCTGTTGAGTGCCCTTGCTGGGTTTCCATTTTCACATTCCTGCTTCTTGCCACTGTTTTCTGTCTGTTTTTCCTCCTGTGCAACTTCTGCATCATCTGTCCCTAATGCCTTCTCTCCTGCTTCTTGGTGGCCAGACCCCCATGTTGCCCCCTCACCTTGAGCCCCTTCTGGCCTGTGCTTTCCATGCCTTCCCTCTCCTGCCTTTCCTGCCTGGAGAGCTTTAGGATTTAACCTCTCTGGGACAAGGCATGTGTCTTGGTGTCCAAGTCTACAAAGCTTCCTCTGGATGTGTATATGGTTGAACCACAGTTAAGCACCCAGAGCGTGCTCGTACCCCACAGAGGTGAGGGCAACCTCACAAAATCAGCTTTCTGTGAAGAACTGTGTGGCCATCTGACAACTCTCACCATGCAGAGCTTTCCAAATGGGTATAAGAAAAAAGAATGAGGCTTCCGATGGGTCCTCAGGACCCTTGTAGAGAGCAGATCCTTTTGTACATGGCAGAACAGCCCTTGCCCAAGAACACTATCAGTAGATCAAGAGCCTTTTCCAGCAAGTCTGCTTATAATCCCCATTTCTGGACCATCTCCACTCCAGCGAGTGCCACCAGGCAGAATTTGCTCCCATTGGTGGCCAAGCAAGCCCTCGTGGCTTCTTTCCTATGACCCCGCTGACCAGAGGGGCTACTAGTGACATTCTAGTTTTATATCACTGCTGCTTCCTGACCTAAGGGGAAAACAGTTTAAAGAAATTCTTCAGATTTTTTTACTTCTCTTCAGTGCTTTGAAACTGAGAGACCTCTATTTTTCATAATTTAAACTCCTGCCTAACTGGGTGAGTGTTTGAATTCCTAGACTATGACAAAATGCTAGCGTGTGTCTGCCTGAAAATGTTGAGAGGATCTTTAATAACCTCCATCCCCCCAGAAACGGCGTTAAAAGCATCGCTAAGCCGATGAGTGAAAACACTACAAACAAGGACCCCGGCCGTTGGGAGGGAGGTGCACGGCTCCGTTTTGCCCCGGGGGGCCCGGGGGAAGCACTGCAGGGTTCCCCCCCCCTTCTCCCCGTGCTGCCCGGCCGCCTCTCCCTCCCGACAGGAAGCTTTCAGGTGCCTGCCTCTTATTTATTTTGGCTAGAAGATGTTGTTCTTCTGCAGTAGCCCGCAGACCGAAAATTTAATGCAGGGATGACCCTGCCAAGCAGCCCGTGTGCCCGGCGACTGCTCCGAGTGAGGGATTGCACAAGAGAGTCCGGCTATTGCTGGGTTTTAATTTGTTTCGGCGTGAAGCGTGGCGGCTGAGGGGCGAGACCTTCTCCTTTCTCTGAAGAGGTCCTCGGAGGACTCTCAGAGGGAGAAGTTTCTGCTGCAGCGCTACGATAAGAGCCCGGCGCTGCCCTTCGGCTCCTCTGTGAAGGCCCGCGTAGATCTGGTGATGAGATTGCGGGAGATCTGCTGGAGGTGTCGAGTTTTCTCCCTCACCGTTGAGTTTTTTTTGACCAGGGAAAGAGCAGCCGTTTGAAAAGCCCAGTGATTTCGCTGTTGCGCTTCCAGAGCGCGCAGCGGTGACACCGTTTTTTCCTTTATTTAATTCCTGTCTTGGAAACCCACGTGCCAAGTTTTATCCCATCGTGACGCCTTTCTGGCACGGTCAGAAACCCTTCGCCTTGCGGAGAGCAAGACAACCTTGACTCTAAGGTTATGAATGGGGATTTATGATCAAGTCTCCAGTTATATACACTTAGCCCAAGTTTACTGCTACAAACAGATGAGGGTGATAAGGTGGGCAGGTTGTTTAAAGTTTTGCTGGAAAGCGAGCACAGTTCTCCTCTTGGCACCAGGAATCTGGCTTGTCTAAAGCAAAAACTCAGCTCTGCAAAAATTGTCATTTGTAAGAACCTGATCCAAGTCCTGCTGGAAACAGGAGCCTTTATGTTGGGCATGTAGGTTACTAACACCCCTTTTTCACTCACATTGTTTCTTAGTATCTTTCCACTGTATTTTTTTATTGTTTTATTTTTTTGTGAAGAGCATCTGGAAAAAGTCCTGTTTGCACATACAAAAAATTTCATGTTTCCAAAAATAATGAGCTCTAGTGCCTGGCCAGTGTCTTGTAAATGCATTGAGAAGTTGTCCTGGCCAAGGATGCAAATGGTGTGATCCCGAGACACCAGCTTGGTGCAGATCTCAACCAAAAAATGCAAGAGACATCAAGAGCAGACGCTTTGGGGCACGGTGCCCAGCCCTTGGGCACGACGTGACCGATGAGAAAGGGTGAAAGAGTTGGTCCTGTGGTGTTGGGTGCCCTCAGATGAATGCTCTGGGGTGATTCCTGATGCCATTAGCCTTTCCCACCCTGCTGCCCTCAGGTTCATGCCGAAGGGATGCTGGCAGTTGGCACTGCTTCTCCTGCCCCATGCTTGGGTGTCCAGGGTGGCCACCGAGGAGCTATGCCACCTTCTCAAGTAAAAGCCAGGTGTTTTCTGGAGCTGAGGCCACCCGCCATGCCCTGTGGAGCTGCCTCGTGTGGTTTAACCACCGCAGTCTCTGCGCTCGCTGCACAGGCCACAAAGCCTGTACGAAGACATAAAAGCCACGGTCCATCTGTGCCTCTTGTTTTCTGGTCAGAAAGGAGGGAAACGGGGCCGGGAGCCGCTTTCTGCTGTGCCTCCCGAGCTGGAGTGGGGCTGGTTAATAAACATGATTCACTGTTGTCTTTTAGCTGTCAGGGCTAGAGTGAAGCTCTTGGTGCCGGCAGGTCTAGCTCTTCTCACTCGAGGGCTAATGCATTTTGCTTTGGGAAATAGTGACACCCAGCACCACGCGTTAGCTTTGCCTCCCAAATAGACCATATACAATTTCCAAACTACTCAGCAATAAAACTCTTCTGTCTCACGCCTCGGTGCCAGCTGTTTAATTAGGAATAAGCAGAGGCTGGGTTTTATTCGTACGAGTAACAGAGGATGTATTTTCTTTTTTTTTTTTTTTTTTTT